TTATATAATTTTAATAGGAGGAGCCTGGAGGTATTATAGACTTTGCAAATTCAGTTTGAAGACATCCATTGTGCGTGTCCTCGGCAGTTTTTTCCTGAGGCTTTTTAATATTACCCACATCGATATCGGAATTATATCGTATCGACCAAAATTAAGAAATATATCGTGATATAAATTTTTGCCATATCGTCCAGTCCTAGCCCTAGGTCAAAGTACCTTCTTTTTTCTTCAAATTCAACATTAGCCTTGCAGCATCATTTATTATTGGATCATATTATTGAATTCCTGGTGTAACAGTTAAGCGATTAATTTAAGCCACATGATTTTCCCCTATTTCTGATTGTCTCCAGAATTCTCTCCCAGTTTGGCTGTGGATTGCCAATCATGGCTAATAATGCCGCCTCTCTCTCCTGTGCATTTGCCCAGGCACCAGTAACAGCCGTCTTGAAATTGTCAGGACAGGCAGGTCTGCAGGTTCAGTTAACTGAATTATTCGACAGCAATCATGGTCATCTAGACCGTTTGCTCTGGCTTGTCTCTGCAGGAGCCAGGATCACATACGCCATCCCATTTACCCACATTAGCACATGTCAGAAACACACCTCCTGTCTGACGGTGATGTCGGACAGAATTTTGTTGTCCGGGATTCCCTTGTGATGTCATTTCAACATGGCGGCTTACACAGTTAACTGTAATTCTATTTTATAAATATTTTAAAATGTTTATTTTAAATGTATTAATAGTTATAAATGTATGTGGCTGATTTAGAGAATACCATATCATGACCGTAAACAGTATCCTAGCATGCAATATCAGATTTTTACCAGACTTGTTAGTGTCTTTGTTTGTAGTTTGTTTGCCTCTCGAAAAAAGAATATCGCTATGGATCTACTAAAATATTTTATAAAGCTTTTAATGTGGTTTGACTAGTTCGTGGTTGTTTGTTTGTCTCTCGAAAAAAAGAATCTTACTCCAAATCTGCTAAAATATAAAGCAACAACACACAACAGCGTGCTCATGGAGGCAGCCATATTTGTTCTAAGATGTGTAACTCGACTGCGAGATTGGTTGGACGTGACGTCACGCACCTCGGAATTTCCGACTTCCGAGAGATAATAGAATGCAGGATTAGCACCCTAGTGGTGCCAAATAGAACCCCCATTCTCTCCCTGACTTCCCCCATGATCATAAATTGCTAACATTGTCTGTATTCAAATGATCAACTAAGAACATGGGGGCATCTTTATTACTTTTCCTTACAATTGCTATTTATTGAATTCTATTTCAAAATACAGTATAGCTGTTTAAAACACTTTTAAAATTACAGTACTGTACAAATAAAATCACTGAACTGTGTAACAAATATGCTATAATGCAATATTGTATATAAAATATAGTTTATTGTGGTTTCACTGCTGCATCTCGTTGGCTCGCTTTTGGTGGTTTGTCATAAGCTTTGATGAGTCTATATTTGTCATTGAGAGAAAATGACTTTCTTTTCTATAGGCTATAGGTCACTACTCTGACCAGCCGCTGTGTGAGTGCCATTTGACTTGTGTAAGTCATGGGGGTGTCGTTTTTTATCACCTCCCCTCCCCCCCCCATTGCCAGTGGGCTGAACAGAAGCTGGGTTGTGTTGAGAAATCACCGTCAGATCTGGATGCTGTGGATATCTGTGCTCGTGTGGTGGACCCGAGCAGATGGGCTCGTCCAGCCAGGCCACCCCCCGCTCCATGGACCGCTGAGAGAGGGCCTTCCTTCCTGCACTGACACAGGGACAGGAGACAGCTTAGTCACTGTGTGCCTCCTCCTCCAGCTCCTCCTCCTGGGGTCTGTGGACTGGGGGTTTCCCTGCCCCTGGGCCTGGTTCTTGTACCCATTGCCCCAGGGCCTGGTTCCGACTCGCCGTCTCCGGTGCCCCTGGGCCTGGTTCCGACTCTCCGTCTCCGACATCCCTGGACCTGGTTCTGACTCGACGTCTCCGACGCCCCTGGGGCTGGTTCCTGCTCACCGCCCCCCTGTCTGTCTCTTCACAGTGAGACCATTCACCTCCACGGTGAAGGAAATGCGTCTGCGCAGGGATGACTTCGAGATGCTGAAGGTGATCGGCAGGGGGGCCTTTGGAGAGGTGAGTACAACCCAGGAAGTGCATGGAGGGGAGCATGTTAGCAGATGTGATGGACGGCTGTATGTTCCTCCCTGGCTGGAAATACGATGGCAGGAATGCAGACTTGCCTGTGTCTGTGTGTGACTCTGTGTGTGTGGATTATGTTTATATTACATTGTGGGGACCAAATGTACCCCACAATGTGATTAAAAAAATTTCCATTTTTCAGGTCCCTGCAAAGATCTGTGACTGCAATAAAAAAACAAAAAATGCAAAATGTCTCGTATTTTGTTTGGTTACTTGTGGTTAAGGTTAGGACTGGGTAGGGGTTAAGGTTTTCATATTGGAGTTTTCCCCATACTAATGAATGGAGAGTGCCCACAAAGATATCACAAAGATAATGTGTGTGTGTGTGTGTGTGTGTGTGTGTGAGGGAGAAACTGACATCTTTTTCCCACATTCTCCTCTCTCATTGCTGACCTGTCCTCTGCTGCCTGGTCACCTGACTTGTCATTTCTTCCCTGCTCCTCAGCCTTTCCTTGGTCTGTTTCTGGCTGGTATCTCTGCTACGATGTGCAAAGACAGCCACACAAGTGCAAGGGTGGGGGGCAGAAGTGGCATGGAGCCTATCCCAGGTGGCATAGGGTACATCTGCGATCAGATGCCTTGTGCCTTGGCTGTGATCTCATAGTGCAGCTATGAGAACTAAGACATAAATAGAATGTAACTACTACACACATAAACACAGTATTTACAGGACATCTTAAGACAATGAGACAGAGACAAAGACATACAATTGACCACCTGACTGGTGAGGGAAGATTGTGCAAATTGGCATGAAAGTTTGGCATTGACTAGTGCAATAAATAAATAGATTTCAATATAGTGGTGAATTCAGAGTTTACCTTTTATCAGGCCCAGTCTCAGGCTAGAAAACTGTTTATAAGCCTCACTGTTCTGACTTTGATGCTGCAGAACCTCCTCCCAGACAGCAAGGAGGCAAAGAGGCTGTAAGAGGGGTGCGCTGGGTCCTTGATGATGCCAGTTGCCTCTGGATGCAGCACTCATTACAGGGCTCTTTCCACTGCACTAGATACTGTACATTCAGTACTTTGAGAAAGTACCAAAAGTATGGTACTTCATTGTGTTGGTTTTCCCACTGGTGTAAAAACTGGTACCAGTGCTGCATGATATCACAATGTGAGGCGGAATATTTTGAATCGGAAAAATGGCTGTAGTATTTTACAGGACTGTACGATGTGTGATATTTATACCAATGTTGCATGTTATGTGCATGGAGTTTGTACTGTACATCGCTGCTCAGATAGATTAACATCAGGCTTTTTTTTTTACTTTCAATTTTGTATGTATGTGATTGCACAGGGGGTTAAATTTAATCCTAAAACATTTTTACTCTGTCATAGAAAAAAAAGAGCTTACCTAGCTTTGCAGTTTTTCCATGTTTTGGGAGAATTATTATGTCCTGTCCATTTATATAAATTAAAAGAAATATTTAATAATATATTAAGTACAATTTAATTGCTAATTTGCATTTGGGTATGGGTGGTTTTATTTCAAAACTACAAAAAGTGAACAGTGCACTTTTCATTTCAAATTAAACGCAGGGCTACCAACTTTGGTCAGCTGACTGGAGTGAGATTTTTAAATCGAGTCTGCACACACATTTACATGTATGTAACAGTTTCTTTACCTTGAAAATGGTCTGTAGAGTTTGCAAACTACTCCAACGCCTTTGTAAATAATTTTAGGTTATATTGGAATATTATATTGGAAGACTGATTTACAGTCAATTCTTACTATCTTTTTTATGTGATTTAATATTTGTTGATGTTTTATGTGCAGATTTATAAATTTGGTTATTTTACAATTTGCTATAATGTTTTTTTTTGCAATCAAATACAATACTTTATGAACACTGTTAAAAAATTTAAGTCAAGGGAGGTAATGCTAAGATTATACAATTCCTTGGTGAGACCTCACCTAGAATATTGTGTGCAGGTTTGGTCACCATATCTTAAAAAGGACATTGTGGCCTTAGAAAAGGTGCAGCGTAGGGCCACAAGAATGATAATGATAATTGATACTTTATTGATCCCCGTGGGGAAATTGTTTTTACGCCTCCCTCAACTTGCTCTTTGTAGAGCAAGCTGTCCGCGAAGGGCAGCCACCCGTAGTGATTCCTGGTCTTAGAGGAATGTCATACGAGGAAAGGTTAGTTGAGCTAAATCTGTTCAGCCTCAAGCAAAGGAGACTGAGGGGGGACATGATCCAGGTCTATAAGATTCTAACAGGTTTGGATGCTGTTCAACCGAATAGTTACTTCAGCATTAGTTCAAATACAAGAACTCGTGGCCATAGGTGGAAATTAGCAGGAGAACATTTCAAACTGGATTTAAGGAAGCACTTCTTTACACAGCGTGTAGTCAGATGTAACCCAGATAGTTAATCTAATATTCTAGTAAGTGTCTAATATTTATATAAAATACTTAATTCATGCTACTGAAGAACTAAAAGAAAAAAAAAAGGAAAAACTCATTAAGTGATATTTATTTATGTTGTTATAAATAATTAAGAGAAAGACAGGAGGTCAGGAGGAGACAAGAGCATGGAGATCTGTCGTACCAACTAGCATTGCCAGCTGACCTTCGTAATATGGTCTTGAGAGAACTCCATGATGAAATGGGTCACATGGGGATAGAGCGAACTCTCGACCTCGTTCAATCAAGATTCTTTTGGCCTAGGATGTGCTCAGCAGTGGAAAAGAAGATCAAAACCTGCGAGCGTTGTATTCGACGACAGACTTTGCCAGAGAAAGCCACTCAATTGGTAAATATCAGAACCAGCAGACCGCTAGAGCTAGTTTGTATGGATTTCCTGTCACTAGAGCCAGACCGAAGTAACACCAAAGACTACTGGTGATAACCGATCATTTCACCAAGTACGCCATTGCCGTACCAACACGGAATCAGAAAGCCCAGACAGTAGCCAGATGTTTATGGGATAATTTTCTGGTGCACTATGGATTCCCAGAAAAACTCCATAGCGACCAAGGTACAGACTTCGAGTCTCGCACAATTAACGAACTGTGCAAAGTGACTGGAATATCCAAGACTAGAACCACCCCCTACCATCCGAGAGGCAATCCGGTAGAACGCTTTAATCGGACACTTCTACAGATGTTAGGAACCTTAAACAACAAGGAAAAATCAATATGGAAGGATTATGTCAAACCTCTAGTGCATGCATACAATTGCACAAAGACTGATGTGACAGGATTCTCTCCATATGAACTAATGTTCGGGAGACAACCGCGACTACCGATTGACCTTGCGTTTGGTTTACCTGTGGATGGACAGTCTGAATCCCACTCCAAGTATGTCCAAGATCTCAAGAACCGACTGGAAGACAGCTACAATGTCGCAAGGGAAAATGCTGAAAAGGTAGCGGAACGAAACAAGAAGAGGTACGACAAAAACATTGTTGTTTCCACTCTTGAAGTCGGCGATCGTGTGCTTGTGAAAAATGTCCGTCTAAAAGGCAAACACAAGCTGGCAGATAAGTGGGAACCTGATGTTTATGTGGTAACAAAGAAAGCAGGTGATTTACCGGTTTACACGGTAAAGCCCGAAGGGAAGGATGGACCTCTGAGAACTCTGCACAGGGATCTGCTCCTGCCTTGTGGATTCCTGTCGACAAGTGCACCTGACAAGCTTGTTGAAAGAAAAGTGAATCGGAAACCTAAAACTAGAAGTGCTGGGAAGGTTGAAGAGTTTGAAAGTATGAGCGAACGTTCAGAATATGAAGATGACCCAGTTGAATATCGTATCCCTGGAAGGTCCTTTGGGATTGAAACCAGAATTCTGTCGAATGCAAAACCTGTTCCTCCTCCCAAGAGTAGAGAAACAATCCACGTACCTGGTGCTGAACCTGTGGTGGAAGAGGATGAAGGACGTCCTGCTTCGACAGAACCTGTTGATCATGGAAATTTACCTGAAATGGAAACTTCTAATGCACAAGAGGCCGATCATCCTATCCAAGAGCAACCAGTAGAGAGTAATCTATCAGATCTGCTGGAAGTTGGAGTTCCTGTTGGAAGCTCAGTTGATGAATCTGGAAAAGGAATTGCTCAGAGAGATTAAGGGAAACCAGAGCTAGATAAGATTTTAACAACTCTGAGCTATTAGTTAAGTTCTCCCCAAGCGAGCTCGATGGGCCGAATGGCCTCCTCTCGTTTGTATAGTTCTTATGTTCTTACTATAGATTTCTTGCATGAGTGGAAGGCAACCCTGAAAACGTATGTTTTTTGTTTGTATAAAAAGAACTTTATACAGTTGTTAAATAATGTAAAACACCAATAACTACGTCTATTTATCAAACATTTGAAAAAATACTGTGTTTGAAAACTTTTTTGGTTGAGGGTGTTAGATTCGCTGCTGTTATTAACACTTATTTATTTGTGCTAATGCCACATTAGCGCAAATAAAAGGGCTGCTTAAGCCGAAATACGTCTTGCTTGGGAGCTAACTGGGTGATAGTGTTAGCTGGGTAGTTGTGCCTTTTACCACACACCTTACATGAAGGCAGCGGTGTGTATGTATGCTGATTTATTGAATATGTTTTACTTTTTAATTTGCTATTTTATATAATCTGGTTAATTTGTTTAATTTGTATAATTACACAAAATCTGTTTATTTTCAATTTGTTAATTTGCTATTGCTATACCTCATCATAGTGTGTAATTAGAAAAATCACACAACGCAGATACATAAACTATATAAGGATAAGTACTCAAATTTCAACTGAAGCTTTGAAGAAAATAAAATGCTTAATTTTTTAGAAATAGGGTGTTGTATAATTAGGCTGTATAATTCTCGTGGTGTTACCGGTATTGTGCAAATATATATCTTAAGTACAGTAACACCGGTAGTGACTGTGACATCGGTGTACCGCCCACCCCTAATTCATTTTATAGATTATTTAATGTATGTTTCTAAATCAGT